GCTCGATCAGCACCCCACAATTCTTCCATCAAATCATAATGTCTTATAGTTGCCAGTTTCCATTTAGCTGCAGAAGGCTTCGCCTACAAAATAATGAGAATGGTTAACACTCGTAATTGTTATGTTTTGCTATATCAACAAATGATAATTCATATAATAGTACCTTAATTAGGTCATCCCATACTTCTTGCTCAGCCACAAACCGTTTTGTCATATCATCCCAAGCGAATCCACTAAGTCCATGAAACAAATCGTGGACCTCCCGCCATCTATCCTTAAGACTTTTTTGTCGATTTTTAACATTATTTTTAGTTATACCAATTAATCCAGACTGTCTTAGGGATTCAACTATATTCTTATATGCTTGGGTTGTCCAACTACCATCAACCCGATTACCCAACCTTGCCTCATCAAGCATAGCAGATCAACAACCGAAAGTCCATGTCATCGATCCATTTTGTAAACTCGCGCACTACGAGTGACGAATCCGATGCAATATCCTTTCCTCTGTTCATTTTAAACCTATTGGAAAGATAATATATGTAATTACGATACCAACATATAATTATTATAAATAGATAATCGTAATGTAATCGTATTTCAACAATAACAATAGTACATCTTATTAAATATATTATTATATACAAAATCTAATGACTTTGATAATCTATCCACATTTGATTTGCTATAGTATCTCTTAAGTTTGACCCTTCCCTATAATCCTCTTCCCGAACTTGAGTCGACATATTATCCACATCTTGTTCCATCAACTCTCGATCCACTTCAGCTAACAGTGATTCATCGTTGTCTATCCCTCGAAGAAAATTGTGTAGAATGCAACATGCTAGGACTATATTCGTCATTGTATCAAAAGAATAATGAGGCTCTGTTCCACTTGCTATTATAGGAAATCTTTTCTTCAAAACTCCAAATGTTCTTTCAATGACATTTCTAAGAGACGAATGTCGATGGTTAAACAATTCTCGGGGGTTTTGTGGAGCTCGTCGAGAATACTCTTTAAGGTGGTATCTAACGCCTCGATAAGGGGTCATTATGTTTGCTTTTAACATAAATCCAGCATCCCCCAAGTAGTATTTACCTATTTAAAATCATTGAAGTTATACTAATTAGAATATTTAAACTAGTTGACTATACACCTAAAACCGCTATTACAAGTTATATTTCGCTTGAGCGACACTAAACTCGCTCGAGCGAAGACACCTGCACATAATTTTCATCCTCGGGTTGTTTTTCGCTTGAGCGAAACTGATGTCGCTCGAGCGACTAGCAAAGATCTCAGTGATTTGATGAAGTCAAAGATAAAGTCAAAAGTCAACTCTGCAACAGTCAAACAAGTCACTCAGAAGAATGGAGCTGTCTTAACAGAAAGCTTAGGTAAAACCACTTTACCTTTTCCACTGCATGAAGCTCCTTCACTCAATTTGCAAAATGCCTCAAAAATAGTTTTAAACAAATCAAACAAAAGCATTTTGACAAAGAACTTTCTTAACAATGTTTTTAACTGATATAGTTTTAAAAGAAACAATTAAAATCACTTAGAATTCGAATATGACAGGTCATAATGAAATATAATCAATCAGACTTTAAAAATGAGCTATCAGATTTATTTTAATCGATTAAAACCACTTTGGAAGTCAGGATGATCGATCAGAATGTACTTATGACCGATCAGCGTTGGTTATGATCGATCAGAATTGAATTATGACCGATCAGACTTATTTCAATCGATTAAAGCGAATTTCAATCGATTAAAATGACTTGAAAATTTTTGTACAGAGTTTAAATCGATTAAAACGCATTTCAATCGATTAAAATGACTTAGAAAAAATTCTGTGCAGGTTTTTAATCGATTAAAACTTCTTTGTATCAGTTAAAATAACTTGAAAAGTGTTATAAGAAAGTTTTAAACTGAATCAATCGATTAAACCACGAATCAATCGATTAAATCACTCTTAGAAAATGTTTGTAAAAAGTTTTAACTGATAAAAACTTGGTCGTATCAGCTAAAACAATTCTGTTAAAGAACAAGAACGCATTAATGGGTTGAAAGGACTTTTAACAGATTATAACGGCTATTTCAACAGATTAAAACAAACTTTCAACAGATTAATTAATGCAGCTTTTTCTGAAAACTCTTTTATAAACAGAATTGCTTGGAACTTTTATCATATCAGTTTTTAAAAAAACAAAGCAATCAATTTAAGCAACTGTTAGCATCCTTTTTCCAAGAAAGAATTACAACTGGAAGTTGGTTCTTGGTGGAAAGGTTGAGTGCAAGAACATGAACAACTGGGAGAGACGAAGATGTCCCATATATCTGACTCCGAATGTTGAAATGTTGATGATCGTCTCATCACATTAACTTGAGATAAAATAATTACAATATAATTTTCTACTTTGAGAATTAATAATATAATTAAACATCAAAATTGAGAATACTCTTATACATTTTGAACTCTTTTGGATAAATTTTGTTTCCCTAATTTTTGATAAAGTTAATTTTAATATTTAAATTTATTAGAGGTTAAGGTTTAACCTCTATTATAAACTCCCTTTAAGAATGGTTCTTAAAGTGTTCCATCAACTCCCTGCTGCTTCTCAATTCCTGATTGAATCGGTGCCGAGTCGGATTAAAGAAAGTAGAGTCGGATGTTATTGCCTTTGCCCCCACGCCAGCTTGCTCTCTAATCCCACTGCTGATTGGATTGAACTGAAAAAAGCGGAGCTTAGGTAGGCTACAACAACTCTCAAAGCGTGAGCTCATAAGCCGTATTTCGCTCGAGCGACTATATCTCGCTCGAGCGAAATACGATCCTGATCGATCATAAGTTGAAATGATCGATCATAATTGGAGGATATAATAGCGGTTCCTCTGTAACCGCTATCTAAAGTGTATATTAGATAGCGGTTCCAGTGGAACCGCTATCATATACAATCATATTTTAATTTCTTGAGTCTTGGGTTGTGTTTCGCTTGAGCGACTATATCTCGCTCGAGCGAAATATGATTCTAATCGATTAGATTTACGAAATGATCGATCATAATTGGAGGATCTAATAGCGGTTATGTTTTAACCGCTATTAGAAGTGATATATAATAGCAGTTAAGTTTTAACCGCTATTAGAAGTGCTATTATAATAGCGGTTAAGATTTAACCGCTATCATATGGAAGAGGGTAACTTCGCCATTTCATTATTTCCAGCAGACTTTCACCTCTTTTCTTCGCAGATCAGCGAAGAAAGTCTCTCTCCCCTCTCCCCCTTTTCCTCGCCTGCATTTCTTCGCAAATCTGTTCAACCAAATGTGGGTGAATCTCGTGCTTCTGTCTTCGTGAACGGTATTTCGTCGCAAATCGGTTCAAACAAACAAGGGCTTAAGTATACAAAAAAATTGGAACTAGAATGTACACTGTAAATTAAAAATATATATTTATATATAATTTTTCTTTGAAATTTTTATTATCATCATTCTTATTTTTTCTATTTTAGTGTTGATTTTTATTATTTATTATTTGAGTTAATAATTTGATTAAATCATGATAGCCTTTGTTTGATTGGGGTTATGAATGGTCTTCAAACAAAATATTCAAACTAATCCAAACCAATTAAGATAAAACTTTTTCCATAAATTGAATATTGGTATCATCGCCCTGCTTCTCTCCCTTTTATTTCAATAAGAATAATTTATTCTTTGCCTTATTTGTTAATTAAGGATAAAATATAATATTTTTGCTTTATCTGAATTTTCAACATTTATGTTTCTTTCTTTGGCATTTTCTTGAGGATATTTTTCTAGTTAGTTAATTTAACATTTTAATTTTGATTACACTATTTTATTAATTTTTGTAACCATTCATTTTTCGTTCTTTTCAAATTAAAAATATTAATTAATATAATTATAACTTATTATCAATAACTTTTTACTGCAAAGTATTATTTTTTGTTGGATTATATATATTTTTAATTATAACTTAATAAAAAAAACATATAATAATCTTCAATTTAATATAATGTATTAACATTTTATAATTTCTGAATTGTGAGTTTTTGTCCTGTTACATGTTTTCTTTAATTTAGTGAACTAAAAATTAATCTCAATTATACTATTATTACCTTTCACTTTGATTTTTATATATATATATATATATATATATATATATATATATATATATATATATATATATATATTCATATATCTGTTGTTATATTTATTTAGATTAAACTTTATATGCAATTGATTATAAAGATATTTATCTTGCATGAATTTTGATATTTCTTTGAAGCAATTGGCTACTGCTTCCATGCAAAATCACCATTTTCATGGATTAGTACACCTCCCATTGTATAAACACCACAAAGTACCATCTGTTACAATCTTTAAAAGACTATTTTCAAATTTTACTATATTTTTATTTCCATAAATGAGATGAAATATAAAAATATATTATCTAGCATTCATTAAATTTACGAATTTTTATTTAAATTACTTTAATTTTTAAAACCATTAAAGATGTCACCAAATTATTTTTTCAAAAATAATTAAAAATAATATTTTTTAAGTAATAATTTCGTAAAATATAATTTTTAAAAACATAATATCTTACCTCCATATAAATTATACAAGAATACATAAATATACATTTAGTCTTGTTTTCCTTTATTACTTTTAAGGCATAAAATTTTCTTGGCACAATGTAACCGGAACAACTTTGCTCATAAAATCTGTTGTAATACTTCTTTCTCATACCAATAATCCAGAATACAAATCTTCTTAACACTATACAACCCTGGAACCCTTGTCTTCAACCTAGATCAATGCAATTCCATGAGTAAGTGTAGTGACAAAGTAGAAGGGAGAAAAAGAAGCACTGCCAAATATCATCTAGCATGTTGAAATCTGTGTATGTTAATGGTATGATCTAAAAAATATGTAAAAGCACTATAATTGGCATGCAATTCTTGGTAGAAAATTTACCTTTCCTAAGGGAAAGCTGCATTAGAATCATGAAATCTGGTCTTCTTGGACCAAAGCCATATCTTGGAAACAGAGAAGCTCTCACCTTTGGTTGAGTCGTTTATCATCTTTCCCTCCACATTTTCATTGTCTGACACATTATGAGATTCAGACAACACCACTTGCAGATTCGAATCACGAACCACATACCGATATGAACCCATGGAGTAGCATCTCCTCTCATTCAAACTACAACTACCATACCCTTCTCCCTCTACACCCTCTAACTCCAACCCATTGTTTCTGAATTTTCCAAGTCTCACAGAAAACACCCTTTTCCCAACTGATCTTTCACTCTCTGAACATCCGTTCTCTTCCTCATCTCTGAACCCACTTGGCAGAACCAAAGAATTTGAATTGCCAATGCCAACATTAAACAACATTGGATTCTGATTCTGATTCTCCACGTAGTTGGAGAGAGATGCCCTGCAAAGAGGACACGTGGAATTCGAGAGAAGCCATGTGTCAAGACAGTTCATGTGAAACGCGTGTGTGCACATAGGAAGCAGCCTCAGCTTGTCGTCCTCGGAGAACTCGCATAAACACACAGCACAATCAAACGGTTCCTTCGAACCCAACAAGTCTTGGTAATGGAAAACGGGTAGAGCGTCTATGAGGGCTTGGTCTAGACCTGAATCGTGCAACCGGAAGAGTTGTTGAAGCTGCCTCTGAAGAACACGTGAGCGCGTGGATTCGTGGAACCTGTTGGAGTTGTAGATTGATGAAGGGTTTGGTGTTTTCATGAAAAACCATAGAACCAAATGGACAAGTCCATACACGAAGAAGATAACTGCTAGAACTATAATGACCAGCAAAATGAGTGGACTGATTCTGCTGAGTGATGATGACGTTGTTGCATCTTTCTCGTTGGTAGTGTTTGCATCGTTAGGAGCTTGGTATGCTGAGAAAGGAGATTGAGAATATGACTCATATGAGTACTTCACACCACCATGAATGCTGCGCATTTTAGCAGGTGAATATTCTTCTTTTCAATGTACAATGACAACAATGATGTTTGTATCCTACACTTCATGCAAATTGTTCAAATTCTTGCTAGCTAGTAGGTCTACTAAGGTGGATTACCAGATGGTTATTCTTAAAATTGATATTCCTGATTGGTTTTTTCACGTGGGAAGTCAAGGGAGCATTTTCTGGCGTTGAGTTGGAAAAGGGAACAAAGACTGTGATTATGAAGCACTACTCTGTAGAAGCTTCATTCTGGTGCAGTGGAGTCACTGTTGTGAGAAGAGAAGCACTAGATAAATGTATGTTATGGTTGAATTGTGGATTTTGCAGTAAGGAAACTTTTGTTTCCTTTTTTTCTAGTTAAGATGAAAAGATATGGAGAGCTTATAAGGAAAATAATGAAGTGAGAGATGATAGATGGAAGAGTGTATATTAGATTTTGATAAAGTCAACCAGCATAACCGCATATCAGTTCAGTGGTTGGTTGGTGGACATGGAAATTTGTTTAACTTTTCTTTTACACCACTAAAACAAAAGTATAAATTATTGGACTATATGCATGGACCTCTCTATCTATATATAAACACATCATAAGTTATACTATTATTTGTATAGGTTTGAAATGAATATTTTTTTCATCATCATAATTATTTTTATATTTTTTCCCTAGTTCTTATTTTTTATTCTCAAAAATTATATAAATATACAACTTCTCACATATAAATACCAAAACCCCTTTGTTAAATCTATCATAAATAAAAATCTGTCATGTTAATGTATTTGTTTCTTAGGAATTGAATTCAGGAAGTTTTTTTGTGTGTTATTAGCAATATCGTGTTTGCTGATACACGTATACTGATAGATATCAGACATTTAAACTCGGTAAATTAATTTTCATTCTCTTTCTTCCCAACTCCTCTTACTTTTAACTTTGGCATGCCAATATTCTTAATAAGTTATGCTAATAATTACTTCCACTTACTCCTCAACTCTATTTTTAAGATTGTTCATCTCATCTAAAAACTATTTTTACATTTATTTCATTCTTTTATTATTATTACTATTATTATAAATGATTAAAATAAATGTTTTTTACAAGCTTTTGGCCCTGGAATGATGCACAAATACATTTCTTTGATAACTGCAAGAGTGTTTCCATTGTTGGCATAGTGAATTGACAGTTTTATGCAAAGATTTCATTTTGACGTGTACAGTAACAAAAACACCAGATGTCTAAATGGTGAAAAAACGGAAAAGAAAAATAGCAAAATGATTAAGATGTTGACTTTTGTATACAACACAAATTAATTAGTCTAACCTCCAAAGCTGTCTATTTGTAGGGTGTGGCTTCTTTTTTCAAGTATAGAATCATTGCAGATAATAATGACCATTCCACGCCAATCTTGGCATGATAACTACAAAGAAAAAAAATATAAGGTAAAAAAGAGATTTTTTTCATACATGGATGTCATCTAAAGATTCTAGTTCGAATGGACCCGTGCGTTCTAGATATTTCTGTAGCAATTTGCAAATGCTCTAAGCTTTAGGCTTCAAGGCTGAAGTTGTAATCTCAGACATTAGAGGGTAAATCTTTGTCATGTCTTTTCCAAAATTATATAATCCTACAGGCGTGTTTTGTTACATCATACAAGCATTTGGGCCGCATTAAAAAAGTCGAAATGATGAGTGTTAATTCCCATAAATCATAATAGCTATGGGGTGAGAAGTTCAGGAGGCTCCCTGTATTCAACTTTCACATGTTTGGAGGTGATGGAAGCAACAGATACCGGGAAAAGACAACCTGTATTCAACTTTCACATGTTTGGAGGTGATGGAAACTACAGATATCGGGAAAAGACAAAAGTAAATGGTAGGGTCATTTATTCTTGCACGCATGGCAACTAATTAAACCTATGATTGTGTCTGTCCAAAGTAGGTGTGAAATGCAACTAAAATGGTGTTCAGACCCCTTACTAACCAGCAAGAAGTCAAAAAGATAGGTTCTGCTCTCAAGCATTTATATGTTATTCCCCGAACAAAACTGGGCTGACTTCCTGTTCTCTTAAACAATAATCATCTACAAGAAAAAAGACAAATATTTTGTTGGGTAAAATGTGAAAACAGATAACAAAATCAAAACCACCTCATGATCACAAGACAATAATAAAGGAAAGAATGAAGGAGAGAAAAATAAATGATACAAGAATTTTAACGTGGTTCGGCTAAAATATGTATGCCTACGTCCACGACTACACTAGGAAGTAATTTTTATTTCTGTGTGTATCTCAAACTTTACATAGGGTTGCTTATATAACAAAATAGAGAACCTCATCTCACAATCCTAATCGATGTGGGACTAAATCAAGCACCATAATACTAACAATTCTCCCACTTGGAGTTTGATTTACGTTACCACCTAGTGTAGTGCCTTCATCATCAATTTGCTCGAAGGCCAGTTGAGGCAATGCAAAGCCTCAACTTAGTTGTTGTAACAGTCTTGGTCAACATATCAGCGGGATTCTCTGCACCTGGAATCTTCAACAAACTCAAGTCTCCATCATTTATCGGGTTTCGATAAAATGATACTTCAATTCAATGTGCTTACATCCGGAATGAAGGATTGGATTTTTAGCAAGACAAATAGCACTTTGACTCGTCACTAAACAATGGAGAACCATCTTGTTCTCTTCCTAATTCTTTTAGAAGGTTCTTCAACCATATCATCTCCTTCGCCGCTTACGAGATAGCTACATACTCGCTTCGAGTGGTTGAGAGAGAGACCCTTCCTTGAAGTTTAGACTTCCAACCGATAGTTGTACCACCCAATGTAAAAATATAACCTGTTGTGCTCTTTCTACCGTCAAGATCACCTCCCAAGTCCGCATCGGAAAACCCCTATAAAATGAGATTACTTCTCTTGAAAGACAAATGCATCTTTGAAGTGCCTTTCAAATATCCGAATATCCACTTCACTCCTTCCCAATGCTCCTTTCCGGGATTTGATAGAAATCTGCTCACAACTCCCACTTGCATGTGCTATGTCCGGTCCGGTGCAAACCATAGCATACATCAAGCTTCCTACTGCAGATGCATATGACACTTTAGACATGTGACTTTCTTCTTCTTCCGTTTGAGAAGATTGCCTCTTTGAAAACTTTAAGTGAGTTCCCAAAGGTGTATTCCTGGTTTTAGCATTCCCAACATTGAATCTGCTAAGCAATTTTTCTATATATTTTTCTTGAGATAAGTTCAAAATACCTTTATCTCTATCTCGGGAGATTCTCATACCAAGAATTTGCTTGGCTGGACCAAGATCCTTCATTTCAAAGCTCTCCGACAATTGTTTCTTCAACTTGTCAATTTCTCGCCATATTAGCTCCAACAATCAACATGTCGTCAACATATAAGGCAAGAATGATATAGCTATCAACATATTTCTTCACATAACAACGGTGATCTTCTTCACATCTGCGAAATCTCGAGTTTCTCATAAACTCATTAAACTTCTTGTACCATTGTCTCGGCGCTTGTTTTAATCCGTACAAACTTTTATGAAGCTTGCATACAAGATTTTCTCCGCCTTGTACTTCAAAACCTTTTGGTCGTGTCATAAAAATTTCCTCTTCAAGATCCCCATGTAAGAATGCAGTTTTGACATCTAAGCTGCTCCAAATGAAGATTTCCTGCAGCTACTATACTCAAGATAACTCGATGGTAGTCATCTTGACAACAGGAGAGAAAATTTACGTGAAGTCAATTCCTTGTCTTTGTTGGAACCCTTTCACTACGAGTCTAGCCTTATATCTTTTGCCGCCATCTGGTTCTTCTTTCAACCTATAGACCCACCTGTTTTGCAAAACTTTCTTTCCTTCCGGTAGCTTGGTTAAAGACCATGTTTTATTCTTCTGAAGGGACTTTATCTCATCTTCCATTGCTAGCTCCCACTTAATAGATTCATCTCCCTGCATAGCCTCAGCAAAATGCTCTGGCTCACCGACGATCGATCAACAACAAATAATGCAATGAAGGGGAATACCTTTGTGGTGCTACAATTGTTCTGCTAGATCTTCTAACCAAGATTTCAGGAGTTGCTGACTCTACTATTTGTTCGAGGTTCTGTCTCGGGCTCTGACATAGGCTCTACTTGTATATTCCGCCTTCGGTTGACTACATCACTTTCCGAAATTTCTTCTAATGATACTTGCTCTAGTTGTTTATTTACATTTGCGGATTCTGCAATCCTGTCTCTATAGAACATGTTTTCATTAAAAGTAACATTTCTACTTCGATAATTTTCTTGTTTTGGTCATCCCAAAACCTCGTAGTCAAACATGTCGGATCCATAACCAATGAAATAACAACGTTTTGCCTTAGGGTCCAATTTATCTCTACTATTAGAGTCTAACATAACATATGAAGCACAACCAAAAACTTTCGGATGTGAAAGATTTACCTCTTTTCCGAGACCATACTTCTTCGGGTAACTTATAGTCTAAAGGAACTGATGGTCCTCTCGTTTATGAGATAGGTCTCTGTGTTTATTGCATCCGCCCAAAATACCTTGGGTAATCCTGACTGGATTCTCATACATCTTGCTCTCTCATTCAAGGTTCTGTTCATTCTTTTCGCCACACCGTTTTGTTCTGGTGTTCCTGGAACTGTCTTGATCATTCCGATCCCATTCTCCGAACAAAACTCCTTGAATTGACTACTCGTCATATTCTCCACCATTATCGGACTTCAAACATTTGACCTTTAAACCTGTTTGAGTCTCAACCTCCTTTTTCCACCTTTTAAACACAGAAAACACATCAGATTTATTTTTAAGAAAATAAACCCATACCTTTCTTGTAGAGTCATCAATGAAGGTTACATAATATTGTGAACCTCCAAGGGATTTCACTGAAGTTGGCCCCCAAACATCTCGTATGCACTAGTTCTAGTCTTTCAACTTTAGACGACTTACTTGTTTTTGAGAAGCTAACCTTTTTCTGCTTTCCAAAGATACAATGTTCGCAAGGTCCAACGTCAACATGCTTCACGTTAGGTATTTTACCTTTTGATATCATGAGCTTCATTCCTTTCTCACTCATATGCCCAAGCCTCCGATGCCATAAGGAGGAATTGTTGCCAACTTCACGCAACCGATATCATATCCTCATCTCGCAATCATGTAGAGAGATCCTTGCTTCTTTCCACGAGCAACAACAAGATTACCTTTCATTACCTTCCAATGTCCATCTCCAAAAGTGGTGTAATGTCCCTCATCATCCAACTGCCCTATAGATATTAAGTTTCTCTTTAAGGTTGGAATATGTCCGACATTATTCAAAGTCCACACGTTTCCATTAGAGGTTCCGATGTTAATATCACCTCTTCCTATGATATCAAGAGATTTTCCATCTGCAAGGTAGACCTTCCCAAACTTTCCAGAAACATAGTTAGATAATAGTTCTAAGGAAGGTGTAGTATGAAATGACGCACCTGAGTCCATAATCCATGAGTCAATAGAATTATCTAAACTACATAACGAGTGCATCTTCAACTTCATCGATTGCCTGCATTTGCCGATTGATCATCATCTTGCTTCTTGTTGTTGTTGTTGTCCTTCTTTGGAGCCCTACACTCGATTTGAAAAGTGGCCCTTTTTCCGACAATTCCAACAAGTGATATCATTCCGAACTTTTGCTTGTGATCTCCCTCCGGATTTTGATCTGCCTCGGCCTTGATTACGACCTTTCTGGCGACTTCTTCCTCTAGTTTCAGTACTCAATGCTTGAACTCGAATTAGAACTGAAAGATTCTACTGAATTTTTCCTGCGAACATCTTCGCTTAAGATCAAGTCACGGATGTTATCAAGCTTCAACTTGTTATTGCTTGCGGAATTACTTACTGCAATGAATGATTGCACCCCAACTTTCCGGTAGAGATGATAATAAAATTAATGCTTTCACCTCATCATCAAATATTATCTCGCACTGATGTCAACTGCGCAATAATTGCATTAAATTCACTAATATGATTAGTAACCGAGTTACCTTCACCCATTTTGAGGTTGACTAGCCTGCGAATCAAATGCACTTTATTGGTCTGCAGAGGGCTTCTCATACATATTTGACAACGCCTGCATCAAATCTACGGTTGTCTTTTCGTTCATGATGTTGAACGCAACATTCTTGGCTAATGTCGACCGGATCACACCAAGCGTCTGCCGATCTAACAACTCCCATTCCGATCTGCTCCATGTCGGTTGGCTTCGCCTGTCAAGGGTAGATACAACTTCTTCCGATACGAGATAATCTTCCATCTCGCATCTTCCGAACCCGAAGTCACCGCCATCGAACTTCTCGATCCTCACCTTTCCTTCTTCCAATGCCATTGCTCTCATCGCTTTCGAAGAAAGCTCCCACTGCTTCTCTAAACCGAGATTCCCAAGAAAAAAGACCAAATCTTTTCTGATGTGGAAGATCAGACAAAGCTGCAACCACAGAGCATACTAAGAAAATTGGCTCTTGATACCAATTGTTAGGAACAAGACAATAATAAAGGAAAGAATGAAGGAGAGAAAAATAAACGACACAAGAATTTTAACGTGGTTCGGCTAAAATATGTATGCCTACGTCCACGACTACACTAGGAAGTAATTTTTATTTCTGTGTGTATCTCAAACTTTACATAGGGTTGCTTATATAACAAAATAGAGAACCTCATCTCACAATCCTAATCGATGTGGGACTAAATCAAGCACCATAATACTAACAGTACATTAACACTTCGTCAGGAAAAGAGAATTAAATAGCTTAGTGCAAGTATTTAGTGTAAGTTTGGTTTCAGTTTAATATCACATATGCTTAAAAAGTAAAACTGAAAAAACCATCTTGAAACTGGGTTTTAGCATAATGTTTTACCTTGAAACTTTGTTTAGAGTAAAAGTAAAGACAGTTAGTTTCACAAACTCAGTCTGCAGAACGGAACCTTCAGTTTTTAGAATTTGGATTCGTTGTTTTTATCTATTGTTTTCACTCTGTACATCCTTTTGAAGAAATCCTACAATTTTTAGAGTGTGCTTGAACTCTTAGGCATCAGAAAGTGAGAAATCCATTAACCAAATGTGATCTTAGTTTTTTCCTTTCGTAACGAAAAAAGGGTATTTTATGATACACATAGAATGGAAAGTGTATAACTAAACTCTAGCTCATGATATATATATTTTTCTTCATGTTTCGTTTTAATTGCCATGCCATTAGCCACTTTGGTATCTTGACCTCATTCAAAGAGAGAAGAAAAACATTTGATTAGATCCATTAGTTGAGACTACATTCAACCGGCTTTCTCAAAGAACTTCTCTCTTCATTCTTCATCAATTGTTTGTGAGATTGACAATTTATTCTGTACTTTCTATTGTCATCTTAAAAGGATTGGCTTTGCCATGTTTGGCTGTTAGATTGCTAGTCTTCCAATTCATCATTGTCTAATCATTGAATTTTTTTTTCCTTTTTCATTGTTTTCTCTAATTGATTTCTTGTTTCAAATACAGTCAGACTGGAGGACTTCTAACTTCTTGTTATTAAAACTGACATGTAATACACCAAAATTTCTAAGGAAATATTTTATATAAAATTTTACAAAGAAATGAATAAAAGGTGATATGGGAGGTTAAAATTGTTCATAAAGAATTTTTTAAGTCAAATATAAAATTTTAACTAATTACATGTAAAGTCCCTCAATTAATTGTAACTACAAATTACACTGTTTTTGCTCTGAATTCGTTAGGAGCACTGCTTTGCACGGAAGGAAGGGGAGAATTTAAAGTCCGTTTAGGCGACATTGATTAGAAAATTGTAGTTGGAAGTATGAAGAATTTTACACTGTCTTTTTTCATAAAAGTCATTGCAATATGATAGCTGATATACTAGTTAATTTGGTTATTCATTGTTCTATGAAACACCATTTCACAAATAAATCATAATTTAAAACACTATTTCAATTTTTTTTAGGTCATACTAAATTATTATATAGAAGTTGCACTACCTACACTTCTATTATTATATAATAATAATAATTTGTATGTTATTATTAAAATTAATAATTATTATATTATTTAATTATTAATAATAAAATAATATAATTATAATTATTAATGTTATTATTATATTAATAATATAAATATTTGTATTATTATTTATTTTATTTTTATTATAATAAAATAATAATTAAATTATACAATAAAATTTATTATTATTATTATTTATAATAATAAAATAAAACATTTATAATAATTTATTTATTATATTTTAAAATTTAATAATTATTATAATTATATTATAAAAAATAATATTATTATAACTCATAATAATTTTAATATATTTAATTATTATCTATTTTATTTATATATTTATATATTTTTTAATCAAATTACATATGATAGCTTAATGTAAGAGATATCTCAATCAGATTGACATATCAAACATTAACTATTCTTATACAAATACATAAAAATAAAGAAAGAAAAAAATACAAAATATATAAGAGGTGAAACCAATGACCATGTCATTAATTTACAGAATAAACCGAAATTTTAGAAATCAAATCTATTTGTAAAAACTCAAAATTGATATTTGGAATAATACTATCAGTTTATTTTATTCATATTATTTTAGTTATAAATAATAATAAAAAAAGGATAAATATATTTATATTTATGAATATAAATAATAATAATTACTATAAATATTATTATATTATTAATAATGAGATAAAAATACTATTATCTTATTATCAATTAATACTATTATTAATAATTATTGTGTTATTTTATTATTATAAATAATAATAACAATTTTTTTATTATATAATTTTATTATTATTATTATTATATTTAAAAATAAAATAAATAATACAAATAAAAATATTTATATTATTAATATAATAATACAATAATATTATTAATAATTATAATTATATTATTTTATTATTAATATTATTTTTATTTTAATAATATTAATGATAAAACAATATAATAATTATTACTTTTCAAAATAATATAAACTTTATTATTATTATTTATTTTATTAATAATATAAAAAATATAGTTATTAATTATAATAATATAATAATAATAATAATATTATTATTATTATATAATATAAGTCGTATTATAATACTATTTTTCATAAATATATATATATATATATATATATATATGTATTATATTTTACTTTTTTTTAAATTAAAATAAAAATTAAGATGATGAATGATATATTTTTTTAAATTTATCTATTTAGATAAATTTAAAAAAAATACAATACAAATACAAAAGCTGAAAAACCTACCATGTGTATAATATTTGTAGTAAATAATATTTAGACATTTGAAAAAGAGTCAAAATAGTTAATATACTTACTATTCTTAGATGTTTACTGATAGACTAAGCATTCATTTATTTCATGGCCTCACCCAGAAATGAAAAATCCAACCAACACAACAACATTGAAACTTATTTAATGTGTATAATACATAGATTGGTATTATAAATAGGCCATGACTTTGTTAACCAGTTTTTAGTAAATGAATATATTTAGATATCCTTAATACGTGTCTTATTTTGTTCGCAGATATTTTTATCATCATTATCTTTATCAAAATTATAGGAAATATTCAATTTGATTGATTGTGTTATTTTAAAGTTGGATATTTGTAATTCATATACTCCAATTTGAGGGTACTTAAGGGTATTAAGATATCTTTTAATAGTATATACAAACTTTATTTAAGAATAATTATTATGTAAGATTAAGAGATAATAAATTTGTTGCATATATATTGAGTTTAATCGGTAATAAAGGGACAAGAATTACATTGTAAAAAGCTAATCTTTCAATTAAATTTTGGGACGAATGTGTTAACTGGATGATACTTAATCAATCACATACTCTCATTTATATTAAATGGAAAAACACCATACTTAGAATTGGGTGTTGATAACACCAATGAGATAGAGATTGTGCACGTTAATTCTAAAAATGGATACACTGTAATTTCTCCACAAAAACCAGAAACCTTGTTTACTGACATTCTTGATACTGAGACAGATACAACTGAAGGGGGGTGGTCCAACATTGAGGTTAATGAGCAGCCTTTAGGTCATGGATGTCGTGCTAAAATACCATGCACTCAACTGCGAGGTTTTGTGACAGACATCATCTACAACTCACTTGCTACGTCTCACATCTCAGGTACACCTTATCCTATAACTTATCATGTTAATTATGGTAAGTTCTTTGTACACCACATACATTTTCTAGCAGTGCAAGTATTGAACCTAAGTCATTTGTTGAAGCCATGAAAGATAAACGATGACAGCAAGCCATGCAGAACGAAATACAAGCATTGGATAATAATGAGACCTAGATGTTAGAGTCGTTACCACTTGGAAAGAAAGCTATTGAGAGACAAGTGGATTCACTGAATCAAGTATAAATCTGATGGTTCGGTTGAACGGTTTAAAGTTTGTCTAGTAATACTAAGAAACAACAAAATTGAAGGTCTTGACTATATTGAAACCTTCGCTCTAGTTGCAAAGATGATAATTATATGTACATTTCTAGCTATTGCGGCTGCTAGAAATTGGAAGTTTCATCAAATAGATATTCACAATGTCTTTTTGCATGGAGACTTGGAAGAGGAGGTGTATACGAAACTTCCTTTAGGATTTCAAACTAGAGCTTAGGGCAAAGTTTGTAAAATTCAGAAGTTATTGTATGGATTGAAATAAGCTCCTCAATGTTGGTTTGTCGGTACTTTAAAACACTATGGATTTGCACAATCCTCCTCCTATCATTCACTATTTACACTACAACTTGAAAATGTGCAACTCCATGTATTGGTCTATGTGGATGATCTCGTGATTTCAAGTAATGATGGTGTTGTCATCAAAGCCTTCAAAACATACTTGTGTGTATGTTTTCATATGAAAGACATTAGAATGTTGAAATATTTTTCTAGACATTGAGGTGACTCATAACTCTACTTGAATTTTCTTGTATCAACGCAAATATGTGTTCCATATTATATATGAAGCGGGATCCTCTACACATCCTAACATTAGGCATGACAAAATGAGCTAGACTTGATGGAACGAGTTGATGATTTTAGTCTGTCCCGCCTAGCTTGCCAATTTCGATGGACCACGAGCAGTAACGAGACGAGAATGATTCGCTTTAAGAAAAATTTATATATTAAAATAAAATAAAAAATATTATAATTAAAATATTATATTTGTTATTATATTATTATAATATATAAATATATTATAATATTATAATTTAAATTATAAAAATTAATTAATTAAATTTAAATTATTAATTATAATTAGCTATTTGGAAAGGTAGGCCAAAATAGGATGGATTGACCCGTTTTGCCATCCAACCTATTATTAGTTAAAGGTGATCTTCTTCCAAATCCATAACAAGTATAGAAAGTTGGTGGAACGGATAATTTACTTATTTGTTACTACGCTTGAACTTTTTTAATCTGTGTATACACTTGTACAATTCATGCAACATCCTCCACGGGAACATTGAGATGTTGTCTTACATGTTATGTGTTTTTTGAAGACTAATCCTAGACAAAGAATTTTGTTAAGTGTTCATTATGATTTACAACTCTATGCTTGATGTAACTCAGATTGGACTAATTGTCCTCTGATTAGAAAATCTCTTACTAGTTGATTTATTCTTCTTGACAATTCATTCATTTCATGAAAAACTAAGAAATAACCCATTATATTTCATTCTTCCACAAAAACATAATATCGTTCTATGACTCCTACCATTTGTGAGCTAAAATAACTGAAAGAACTTTTATCATATTTTGGTACTAATCATCATAACCTATCATAACCTATAAAACTCTATTATAATAATTAGATTACACTTTACATTGTTGTTAATCCTATTTTCCATAAACAATGTAAATCTTATTTTCCATGATTATCCAACTAGTAGATATCTTCACTATAAAACCTCAAGCCTCAATTTTTTTATCAATATACCTTTACTTAAGGGTATTACAATATCCACTAATAATTTTCCTTATATTATATCTATTATAATTGTATTTTTTATAATTGTGATAGTATATAAGATATCTATTATAATTGTTACAGGAACAATAAACTTTGTTTATATACATTGAACTTCTTCGCAATAATGGGATAAAAATTACGTCGCTTAATATTTTTCAATGAAGAAATTATTATTTTTCTAACTTTATTTACATTAATCTTCTAAACTTTTTCTAATAGGGAAACAGATAAGCGACTAAGCGAATTTATCAAAACTATATGTTTGTGCTCATGAATCAAGACTCCACTGGCAAGAAAAAATATATTTCCATTATTGGAAATTATATTAGTAGATAATTATACAAGAGAAAACAACTGGATTTTTCAAGTAACGAACGACATAATATAAAATTCGATTAAATCGCTAACTAGATGTTATGTTATAGCTTTTCATGAAATTACTGAGGAATGAGAATTGTAATTTTACAAGCAGAAGTAGTGTATATATATAATCCTACGTCTTATAATTGAACAGGTAATAATGATGTAATAATGTTTTGATTGGTATTACATGGACCATTTAAAGGTATAAATGGAAGACCACAAAACCCATTTAAGGATCAGCGTGACCAGGAATGTCATCGTCACTAGATCCACTTTCTTCTTCACTGATGTCTTCCTCGTCTCCACTCTCCTCACCAGCTGTAGAGTTGCTAATGTTTTCCTTCTTGGCATACCGCTCACAATACTCTGTCCCCACAAATAGCAGAGCAATTTTTATATATATTTTGTCACCATTTAATAGCCCCCCATTCACCAAACCATCATAATTATAGAAATAAATCCAATTGTTAAGAAATATATGAAGCAGTCTTGGGTACAAAAATTATCATCATATTCGAATAATTTACAGCCTTCGGTCAAAACATATAGTGCTGAACCATTGCATTGCATTGCATTTGCATGATACAACTTCCTGATCTGGGCTGGGCGGGTGTTAAGAGAATAAAAAGGGGGGAAATACGAGTCCGGAGCACAAGGAAGGTTTTATCATTACAAACCAAAGTCCAGATGTGATTCGCCCAAGAGGTTAAGGAGATTAGTACGAAAGATTGCAATAAGGGTCCCTTAAGATCATCCCATCACGATCGTAGTTGGAATGCAATTCAGCTTTGGCTTAGAATCATGATTCTTACCTTTGGATGAAGCAAACAATTAAAGCTAAGAACTGAATTATAATTCCATTTTGACTAGAATTACAACAAATTGACCCACAATTGGCGGTGGCAGTAGGAGCTGATGACGTGAACAATGGAGTGAGGAAGTTGCAAAAATAGTAATAACAGTGATGAAAATGGTAGTGGTATAACAGAAATAAGAAATCAATTCCAATGTCCAGTTCCCATTCTATGCACAAAATCATGCACTAAACAAACACCGGCAAACAGCAGATCATAGGCATTGCAAATAGGGAAACCCATTTAATACGTATCTTCAATTATCAGAAAAAGTAGCACGTAACAAACAATATGCTCACCTTTTACTTTCTGGTCATACAACTTTTTATCCTTCATCATTAACGATGCTGCATCACCATTGAGAGGATCTGAAGCATTTGGATAGAGCAGGAGTTGGGGAAGAAAAACTTCAAAGACATTTAGAAGATCTGAAAAACACAAGAAACGTTGGTCATCTATAAGAAACCAAAACATAACATATTAAACAGATAAGGAGCGAGGATATTAATGAAAGATGATATATGCCTTTTGAATTTCGTTCAGATAATTTATTATATACCTCAGTGAACTTAGACAGAAATATGACAAAATAATAGAACCTTCAGCCGATGGATACTTGAAACTTTTACTATGAAAGCATATAACTGAATTACCGAACATTGGGCTCCAAGATTGGTTAATGACATCCAAGCATACAGAACCAGATCTACAGTTGATGAAATGTTCAAAGCAGAATCAGTCACAATCCACATGTGCACAAACATCAATCGATAGCAAGTTGTTTCAGCGACTTGATAATCCTAAGAAATATCATTTCCCTCTTGCACAAAATCCCAAAGCAATGAAATATAAACAGTAGAAAAGCACTTTGTTCTCTAGATGAACAAAAGGAAGCAATTATTGACATGTATCATGGAACCCAAATCTAAAAAGGTAATAATCGATTGACTCATATTAGTGCAGAAATTACATAGAGCAGAAGAAATATTCACCCAAAAATAAATAAATAAAGATTGACTAATAGCATATGAAGTGCTCACAACTCATCAACGTTTGGGTGGAATATCTTGTTCACAAAGCCAATAGAAGGGGATTTATATGGGTAAGCATCAGGAAGCTCAACACGAATTTTCCAGACTCCACCTTCATAAAGGCCTGCAATAATCACGTAAATTAAATAAATCATGGAATAACCAAATAACTTTAAGATAAATAATTAGTCTTTGTGCTCACAACCCATTTAAAGATAAGTAAACCAGTTTCAAGTTAAAAGATGCAGAATGACATGCAAATATAATATCGAAATTTATGTTGATAGAAAAATAAAGGAGCTTCTCATCAAAAGCCTTCTTGCCCTCTCTTTTCTGTCTTAAGAAAGGAGAAAAAAAAAGGAAATATTTATTTAACTAGAATTTGATTAATAAGTAATTCTTCATACACATACAATTTCATGAAACAAAAGAGTAGGTTAACCATAGATTTCGACAGTACTTTCTTTTGGGCCGTGAAACTCAACATTGAATTCACTGAGTCCATCATTTATCGTCTCCACTGTATAATCACTCATCATCCTGCAAAAAAGTAAGGAGAATTTGAGAAATATGACTACAACAAATTTTGCTGCGAGTAATCAAGCATACATGACCATGTAGGTAAAATGTAAATATTATGCCAAGAAAGAGTGTCTTGGACTCTCAATTCATCCAACAGATGTAGCAGGGAATAATCATGAACATAAATTTACAAATTAGTACATGCATACACTTTCTAACTATAAATTGACGATAGTATCATATTAGCATTGTTTTATCAATGATAAGTCCATCAAAAAGTTCAAAGCTTCGGCACAATTTGGATAAACTTTTAACAAGTCCTTATAGCATAAGAGATAAAATGAATCACATTTCTCTCCTAAGTAAAAATAAACTTTATATATTTAAACTTTTGGAGAAGTTAGATGATAGAGCTTTTTAAAATGTTGAGCTTCATAAATTGAGTTAAGCTTATGAGAGAAAGGGGTATATTCTACCTTTTTCTTTCTCCTATAAGTACTTATTGAAAAGTTTATTCATACAAGTTTATTGCATATACTTCATAAGCCCCAACATTTATGCAATGCATTTGAAGCATGTAAAAGTTACTTGATATTTTTCTTCGGCACTGGTTACTAAATTAAATCAAGCCATATGCCTTCGTTATCAGTTGCTGTTATCAATTTCGCCCATGTTATTCCATCCATAAATTCAGCAACTAATTTAAACTTTGTCTACACTCTCTGATCATGTGTCTATAACGTCTACCAGTTCATAGCGATAACATAGCCTATAAGTACCATATTGCACCACATAATACTACTGCATCTTCCTGCTTAACAACTTCTGTTTAGGGAACAAAAGTATGTATAAAAGACATTGCCACCAAGAAGCATATCACCGTCACTTCTTAGTCTAGAACCTATATTAACTCATTACAGGACCAACAATGTGATTAAAGACTGATTTCCTTTTTGGAGGAAGACAAGGAAAGTAGAGGGAATGGATTTATAATGAGTTTACTTTGACAAAGTACTACATGGTTGCTGCTTAATATCAATCATTCAGCATTAAAAAAAATGTTTCTCTAGAAAATAAAATCATAAAAAGGTAGTGTTTTAGTCCTACCGCAGGGAAATATGATGATGGTATGACAACAGAAAAGGCACCAAGGGGAAAACATAAACGGCCAATAGGCATATTATTTTTCTCTTCTTTTAAATTTTCTCAATTGTTCTTGGTGATTTATAGATCCCTATCCCCACTAGAAAGGGTGACATCTATATTATGACTAAAATTCAGATTATGCCAAAACCGTAATGTGATGGAGTAAAATCATAAGCATTTTTTTTTAATTTTAATGTTGGATTCTATGTTTGACATATCATGTGTGATGAATTTGATTGACTTCCAGGAGATTTTCATGACAGGAAGAGCCAATTCATAACCATGTCTTCTGTCATGAATATTAATAAATGTGTAAAATGAAAAAAAAAAAAAAAAAAATCCATGAACTATTGCCTTTCTCAACTTGCCTCTAAAGTTTATTTTTTATCACTTAACCCTCGTGTTTGATTTTAAGTGAAAACATTACTCTTACAGTTAAATAACTATGCTTCATGCCATGTGATCTTACCATCACTAAAACAGAAGTTTTTCTTTAACATGAATCCCCAAAATTTGTTTATTTAGTATTCTTAGAATTTGGACTTACTATCTAACTCAACTCCACAAATCCAACATGCAAAATAAGGAATTTCTAAGCTTTAAAAGCTCTACTTGGGTCATATCTCTAGTTTGTACAAGATCTCAACTATCTAATAGTCACATCCTGGTGGCCACCCTGTATCATGATTAACTCACACCTTTATAGCAACCCCGCCATAAGCATATTCCAACCTGGGGGACTACAATTAAGGCTCTTTTAACAATCATATTAGCCCCCTTGAAATTTGGTTCAGTGTGATGTTAGCTTCTTGCAGATAAATTAACAGATATTTTCACCAAAAAATAAAACTACATGGAAATTAGTGGTTAACAAAAGGCAAAAAATTAAGGTGGTAAGTTAGGAAAGGCCTACACTTCAAGCAAGTCAGACGGATTTTAATCCTTTATAAATCTTATACATTATTATATATAATGGCAGTTTTATTTCAACAAAGTAGTCCAGGTCCTTCTCTGTAATTGAACTTTAGTTTTTAAACAGACTTCTCTTTAGGGTTCTCTTGAAGTTACCAAACTTACTCAACTCCACCCACATTATGAACTTGGGATCAAGGTCAAATGATACGTCGAGAAAATAAACATATAAATGTGTCAAATGTGCTTTCACCGTGTCATACCAAAAAGCAAAACAAACTAACAAAAATATATTCCAAAGAGTTTGTCAATATACTGATTGCTACTGACTGATAGAAAAAAGTATATAACAAATAATTCAAAAACAGTTTAAAATTATTTAACCGTCACTGAATAAAACAATCTGCTTACAATTTCATAACATCCATTTCTCTTCTCTTGCTTGGAGATGACATTTTGATTATACAAATCACTTATTTCAACCTGCAATAAGGACAATCAATAAGATGTAATATTTGCCAAAGGTACATATTTGTTCTCATCTTCTTCAATACAGAAGATATAAAAACAAAAACCTATTTCAATGTGCAGCATATACAACCTCGAATCATTTCCGTTAAATTTCAAATAGGATTAGGAACTCAATATATGTTTGTGGTGGTATCCTGCATATCAAACCAAAACATAATTTTGCCCAGGAAGATTAACCATATGCTCATAAATGAAGCAGGGAAGCAGAAAACCCAGGGATAAAAAACTTTGAAATAGTTTTGATGTAAAAATCAGGATCAAAACTGTTGTGTCTCTATTGGTCAATAAAAAGAAGTCACATCTATGAAGAAAGACACCCTAAATCATATTAAGATAGTACAGAGTCAAAGAATTTTTTTTTTTTTATTGAATGTTCAAAATATCATTCGACAACAGAAAGTACATACGGATATACAAAAGTTAAACGATATACAAATGAAGGACAAAATACTACCTCTAAACCTATATGCGGAATCCTTTTGACTACTTTCAAAAAACTGAGGAATTTAACTAAAGGTATTAGTCAACAATTTGTTTAAATTCTTCAGAGTTACCTTAAACTATTGAAATCCCATTCACTTAATCTCTTTTCATCTAAATACTGTCTCTTGATTTGGGGTGTTTTATAAAAAAAATTAAGATAAGCAATTAATGCAGTTGACAATTTAGAGGGGTCTTGTAGAAAGAACCAGGAGAAACTTAGCAAAAGACTCTTATAAAAAAAGAACTAGAGGCAGTATATATGAAGGACAGCAACTTGATTAAGATATATCAATGTTTTTCATTGCATATCTGATATAGATTAATTTTAGAGAAATCATCACTAGTTTTTAAAAATCGCTCTTATAACACTTGAAAAAATAAGCAATTATTTCCAAAATAAATGCACATTACTCATGGATCAAACAGAAAAGGACAAAGAAGAAAAGGCAAATTAGACACAAACATAGACATAATTTTTTAGGTATATACTACATAGCTCTGTTCATCTCCACAGAGCATACTTGTAGAAGCTTACACTACAGGCGAACTTAAACCAAATTCCTACTCAGTACAGAAGAATCCTTAACTATGATGAAGGAAACAGAAACAACCCCTTGTTTCAGAAGGACAGAAGAATACTTCAGCTGGTGAAAAATTCCACCACAATAAGACAAACATATACCTATGTGAATAAATGTGGACCAACATTATCATCCTTCCGAGTATTGAAGCACAAAGTTAACAGGTCCAAAGGACAACACCAAGCAAAAGTAACTAATGAAAGGGTCTCATGAATGTGCAGAAAAAAAGCTATACAAAGTGTGTGATACACAATGTAGCACAAGTGCACGCTTCATTTGGCACGAAATGCAAAATACATGATAGTTAAAATTTTTTGCAAACGACTTCGTCCATTTCAAACACGGGCAAATACCCAAGATTCCTTGTCTTACTTGATAAACTTCCTAGCCACCAATGCGGCAACGAGAGGCAAAATGAGAAAAGGCATATTTGCGTTAATTGAATAAAACCGAAAACCCGGAAACAAGGCTACAAAAGAACTATTAGAGATTCGGATAGAAAGATCTATGGCCGACCCGTTAAACCAAACATAGAGGAAAAAGAATGTGTGCAATGGTATTGCTAAGCACGCTGGAATAGTGCAAAATCAAAAGGAAGAGAAGATAAGAGAGGAAAAGTGGATTGGCATGCAAAAAGTGAAACTATAAATTTGGGGGAAACGATGGCTTGCCTGAAACCCTTGTAGCGTTTTGGTGATGGCTTTGTGATCAGAGAGTAATTGGAGAGAAGAAAGGTGAGAAAGGAATTGAGGAGGAACACATATATAGGGAGTGGGTGGGTGTGAGGGAGATAGAATGTCGACGTGGGACATACCACGTGTTATAAAAAAGGTTCGGCAACGTGGCATTTATGTTTCACCATTTTTCTAGTAAGTGCAATTCCTATTAATTCCCGAACTAATTCCAATTTATTACTCTAGCAAAAATACAAATCACGTCTTCAAATGCATTTATTATTTCTTCAATCCATTAATGTTATTTATCATGTTAGAGTAAACTTTCTAACTTCATTCACTTAATTTTCATTTATATTTAGTTTGCAAATCACACATTTCATAAAACAAATATATATAATATCATATTTATTTTAATCAAAATTTATTCTTATTTAACTGTTTGATGAATTTTTCCTTATATTTCAACCATTTTATAATAAGTAAATTTCAATAAAAAAATCATCATAATTATTTTTATTAATCACTTTTTTAAAACGTTTTTATATATTTAAATTAAAAAAAATGTTTTCATAAAACATTATCAGGCCATGTTGGATGAACAAGTTTAGAGATGGATAAAATGAACTAAAGTTAAGATGTTGATGCGCAAAAGTAGGGATGGATAAAATGAACTAAATTTAACTAAATCATCAAAAATTATGTTGAATAAAAATGTAGTTTTTGACACTAAACATAAAATAATTTAAGTAAACTAGATTGCATTGTGTTGTAAAGAAGTTGGACTATTTTATAATTTCTTTTTAAACTATACTTAACTAATCCAATTGGATTCTATAAATAGTAAACTATCATATTTTATATCTTACAAAAATAAATATTTATAATTAGTTAGTTCATAAAATACATATTTTATAAATTTATTAAAATAAGAAATTTTAAATTTATTAGATGTGATAGTTTTAGTAAAAAATGTCTTTTACATATTTATTTTAAAAAAATCAATTTAAATTAACTTTTAACAGCTAAAATGAATTAAATAAGACAAAATATAAAAAAAGAACTGTAAAAGATCACATATTAAAACTATATAATATATAATCTAACATGAATTCAATAAGTAAAGATTGTTACCTAAAAAATTAAGTTTATTGTCACATTCTTTAAATAGAAAAGTTTTTCACTATGATTAAATATCAAATTTGTATACTTTATTTTAACAAAATTATTTCTAAATATATCATATTATTTTTTTTAAATCTGGTCAGTATAGTATGGGTTTAGAAGTTTAATTTCATAATTATTTAATATAAAAAAAAAACTGTGAAACAATTCAGTTTAAGTTTTTCCAATAAAATAATTGAAATATTGTAGCTAGGTTTAATGCAATTCCGCATTGATTGAATTATTTTTAACCGACAAATGTGATATGTCATGTAAAATCTTAGAATGGATTATATTGAAGAGATTTTAATTAATTTATAAGATACTGTACGATATATGATAAAAGCATTTTCAATTTTTTTAAATGCAAATGAATAGTACATAACAAAATCAAAGCTAATATTTTACTTAAAAATGTACTACAATTATCTGAATATGTTATGATGTGTTGTTTATATATATATATATATATATATATATATATATATATATATATATATATATATATATATATATATATATATACAAAGTTTTGAATACTAAAAATACCAAAATTGAAATCCTAAACATAAATTCTACTAACCAAATTACAGCATATTTTATCGTATCATAAGAAAATCTTTAAATATATATTTTCCTTGTGAGTTTTTTAAACAATTCATATAAACTAAAAAGATTTATTAAAATATTATGAAAAAAAGAGAAAAATTTGTTAAAAAGTGTTATTGAAATACTTATGAGTAGTAGTAATATTTACCTAGTGAGTGTTATTTGAAAACTGTCTATTTGGGCTAAGCCAGCTGGCAATGACGCTTATTAGTTGTAAGCCATCTGCACTACACAACACCAACCTTAATCCAACCTAGCTTTTTCAATTATATTTCATATGTTATTTCACCCTGTCTTATTGCCCATTTTTATTTTTACTTATAATCATAGGCAACAATATAAAATCTAAATAATTTTTAATGAAATTTGTTTTTAAAAAAAGTCAACTAGATAGAAAAATGTTTCAATTAATTTAGCAGAACTGGATAAATAAATTCAAAAAATATATGTAGTAAAAAAAAATCATTTCATACTATCAGTTATTTTTTTTTTTTTTAAAAGCACTGTGACATTCTTCATCTTCTTCCTTCTGGTGGTTTTCCTCTGTGGCACCATCATCGTCAGCAAGTTCAGCACTTCAAAACATTACGTTAACGAGATCGATCTCCACGTCTTCACCATTGTGCCCGTGTCGTCCTCGAAAAATCTAATTTTGAATCAAATATAAACCCAATGTACACAAATCCTTTTACGGAACAATAGATCCAGTGAGTGAAACAACTACACGAATCCGTCGCCTGCATCCGCGCCCTCCAAATTTGAATCCAACTCCAACATCAAATCTGTACCAAAGCAATTGATTGGTTTTACAAATTAAATCTAATTAAACTCTGTGTAGTCTGCTTACGTTTTTTACATCATAAAATGGTGGTTGAGGTCGCCGGAATATTGTAAGTTGGATGAAGGAAGATGATCGAGGGAAACGAGAGAAAAGGTTGTACAAAAGGATACCGGTTAAAAGAAAAAAAGAGCCGTTAATTATTTTGTTAACTAATCTGACGGTGGATTTTAATGGTTCACCAATGAACTACTTGTTTCAGTTGTCCACCGTAGAAATCACCCAGCAGGTACACTATATGTTATTGTGTAGATTTGACGAATTTAAAGATGTAGATCAGTGGTTCACCATAATCTACATGAAGGACGTTTGCTGTGGTAGAAAAAGAAAAAAGTATGACACGTATTAATAAGGTAAAAACATACAACATTTGATGAATTGAAAATGTGAAAAATATATTTTTTTGTATACCACAAAATAAGATTTATTCCTTGAAATCCCATATCATGTAGCATCTCATACCATATAGCACCTCCACCTTCTTGTAAAAAACAGAAGTAGATGAAACTTCCTATTTTTTAAAATAGTATTGGTTAAGAACCACTGATTTTAAAAATATATTTCCTGCTACTCTCATTCTATAATAATCTTATTTTTCATCCTCACCCATTCATGTTCGGGTTAAAACAAAGTGAAACACACAAATCCAACCGACAAGAATAATTAACCTGGCTTCCATAATGTAGAAAATCATGTGGCAGTGTAAGCCCCCCATTTTCATTCCGTTTCTCCGGATAGCAACAGTTAACTGAGTGCTTATTTTACTAAATGAACTATATATAAAGGAGTACATTCAAATGAACTCAATCGTTATGTGTTGTGAGAAAACTTTTAAAAATGAGAAGTTTTGCAAGGTTTTGGTCCTCAAATGACCAAATTCTTTATCACTAAAATATAACTAAAACCAACAAGGAAACACACAATTACAAACTTCAGCTTTTGTTTTGGGCCACTAAAAGTTTAACTCGTTCGCCATGGATTTTCCCCATAATAAAAGGCAGTTCCAACCATGAGCGCTACAGTGGCACCTTGGACAACAACACGAGCCCTCATTAACTTCTGACCTAACTGAGAATTACCTTGTCTAAAACTGATTAACCCAGCTGTTAGCACACCAGCAGTAACGAGGGCACCTGAAATTAACACAGCAAATTTAACCAACATAAATTGAATGACAAGAACCAACCAGTTCAAATCACCGAAACAAAAAGAAAAACCTCAAGATCAGCCATCTCCAATCAACAAAAATGTAAAATTGATGTTCCCCGGATGCCAATTTATACACTCCATCGTCACAAATGACAATTTAAATTATCAAGTTCCTTGCTTCTTCATTTGCAAATGCAACAGACAATTTTATCTGTGCATATTTGCATGCAGGGTGAAAGAGCATTCGTTAGAAAGGAAAACCCTACCAGAATGCTACCATTGTATACCCCACGTCCTTCACATTTTATCAATCTTCAACAACAATACTCTTGTTCCCTCTATAAAAGTGAAAATTCTAAATTCTAAGTTACAGGAATCATTTCCTAAACCCATTAGCATATAATGGTCAGCAGCAGCAACTTAGTAACTTGATTGATCACACACCCAAAATTAGTTGATTCAATTCAAGCATTGCACATAAAAAGTCCAGCAACCAAAGTAAATTTCTTGCACTAACATATCATCCTTCATAAAGTATGGCAAGGTAATATAAATCCTTATGACATACATATAAGCAGATCGGGCACATCTAGAAAAAATTAAAATAGGTCATTTCTTTCTTTTCAAATTATGCCTCACACCTGTGGCTGAGCAAATTATAATTATAAATCTATAAACTTTTATTTCTTCCCATTCCCTTTCACATAAGACAATCCCAGTAGCATATCACTCACAATGTCTCTACCCTATTGTATTACAGCAATCTCAAGTCGAGACAAGAACCCTAGACCACACCACCTATCCTCAGAAACATGGAAGGGATGCCCCTCCTAACGTCATATAACAGCAATTTCTAACTCCCCAAGTCCATCAATCAGCTGTTTTCCTAATTATAAACCCTCTGAAATTTTTATCCATCAATCATCATCTCAGTAAAAAAAGGCGGAATTAAATAGGAATATAACGAATGAAAGATGCTGATAATTGAAATTGAAAGTTTAAATTTGAAGACACGAGATTTTTACCAATGGGGACAAAAGGGTTCCGGACTCGCTTCTTCCCTTGCTCGAGAAACTCTTCATCCATGTCGAGAAGAAAGGAAAGCGAAGTTGAGATTGAACCCTAATTGGAGAAGCAGGAAGAAGACGATTAACACGAAATCAATGAATATATGAAAAGGAGTTTGGTGGTGGCCTTGGGGTGGATGCTTGGACAATGTAATGCCACACATTAGGAAGTAAAGTTTACTCTCATTTTATTATTTCCTCACTTCATAAAATTCCTTTTAATATTTTGCTTTACAAAATGTAATTTTACCATATTACATTACCCTCTTTTATGATTAAAAATATATAATGTATGTAGTCTTTTAATGTTAATTTAATTTTTTTTAATTTCGTTTTATAAAAATGTGAGCATTACAATATACTCTGTTTTTAAAATGTAATTTAATTTATTTAACATTTTTTCTTTAAATAAAATTTCTTTAGATTTGGTTGTACAAATGAAAAGAAGATGATGATTAAAAAAAGTTACAAATAATCAATCCATTGGTGAAGATAAATCATTAAAAAAATAATAAATATTTTATATCAATCATTTAGTTAAAAAAATAATAACAAATGAGTTTATGATAAAATAAAATTAATTCTTTAATAATTAAAAAAAGTGTGGTAAAATTTTATTCATAGAAAAAAAAATTGTTCACAATAAATCTTAGACCATCTCTAACACAATATGTTTAACTTGTTACTAATAAGAAATATACATATTTTATAAGTAATTGCGTTTGAATTGATTTATGTGCCTGTGAAAGTTGCTAAAAGCAACGTCGCTTAAAAACAATATTACTTAACAGGAGAAATGAAAAACAAATAAAAAGTTATAAAAAAATTATTTTTATTTTATTTATATTTATATTTTGTATAATTTATTTTTCATTTTTTCTTTTTAATAATTAAAAAAATCAACTAATTATTTATTTTGTTATTATTATCATTTTATGATTAAACTTTTTTTTAATATTCGTCATATCCAAAATTTTAAAAATTATCAAACTTTTATTTTTCTGTAAAATTCTTATCCTAAAAATATTAAAAATAAGTGTATATTAAAAATGGATATTCATTTATAAATGTGAATTTAATTTTTTTATTGTAATTGAGTGTCTTCTAAAATAATATGCTAATATGTTAATAATTAGATTAATTAATATATAAACATGATATATGATAAAATAATAATAGTATTATTATGAATTAATTGATAAGAAACACTGATAAACGAATACATTTTATTTTTACTTTTTTATAATAATAACGTGTGAAATATAACTTCATTTATATTATTCGATTTTTTATTTATTTAATGAATATATTTTAAACATATTTGATTACATTTGAGATGACATATTGTTTATGTATATATGATTGTAAATTATAATCTATATATTTATATCCAACCGAAATCTATTTAAATACATTAAATATTATAATTAAACGAAATTTTTTAATAAATTAAATATTTAAATCTTATAACTTAGGTATTTTAATTTATTTAAAATGAAAGAAATAATTAAATGGTAATATTCTGATAGTTGTTCGGGAAAAATTTAAAATATTAAATGAAGGGAAGAAAGTTATAGAAAGAAATAAAAATAAGGGTTGGATTTAATTTTTATGAAATGTAATTCCACTTATCGATGAAAATTTTTTTATTTTTGTTAATGTACTTACAAGTATACCTTTTATCGATGAAAATTTGTAGACTTTCAATATTTTTCAAAAAAGGTGTAAAAATCTACTCAGAACAAAAAAAAATCAGTGTTAACTTTTTAATGGAAGAGGTCAACCTCCTTATTCGATCATGATTAATATTTTAAATGATTTAAATGTTGAAGTTGATCAAACGAGAAATAGTTTATGGATAAGAATCAAATAAATTTATACCAGCTGCTACAATAAATTTTTAAAAAAGATTCAAGTCAATTGACAAGTAGATGGTTTCGAATCAATAAAGCAATTCAATTGTTTGTTGGTTGTTTAAAAATATCATGATCAGAGAAAGAGTGGATGCTCTAAGAAAGACATCATATGCCATATGCATATAAGATTTACTTTGTGAGGAAATTCAATTTTGATCATGCATGACAGTTGCTAAGAGACGAGCCAAAAATAGAAATTTAAATAAATGAAAATCTTTTTTAAAATAATAATTTTTTTAGTTTTGAAAAAACTTAATGTCTTTTAATGGGTTAATACACTAAATGATAATGAAAAGTATGATCAAACAATATGGATATCTCGTCCAATAAACTAAAAGGCAGCAAAAGTATATTATGGAATATTATCTTACCAATAGGCTATATGAGAAAAAAAAATTTATTTGTCTAATGTCAAGAATTGACTAGAAAATATGTAAAGCAGGCATTTGGAGTGTCACCATCTCAATTTGTTTGTAATTATACTAAGACCACTTGGTGTACACATTGAAAAATATAATGATACATCATATTACATAATATAATTATTAAAGATAAAAGATATATATACATTATTAATTTTGATTATAATAATGTGATAATGGAATAATTACAAGTGAAACTAGTAAAAAAAAAATTAATAAGGACAAATATTGATGCAATTTAGCAAGGATACCTATTAACAAATATTGATGATCACTGAGTCAGGAAAAACACGAGAAATAAGATAATTAACTCTAAGTTGAGGGATTTTGATTGGTCGAGAGTTTAGTATAAATTCTATTTGTTGTGGGGAGAGAAAGGGGTAACGATTACTTTTTACTGAATTCTCTATCTGGACCTATTATCTTCTTTGTTAGTTTTTGTTCATGTTTTGTTTTGGTTATTCTCTATAATCTTCATGCTACGATATATGCATTATTAGTTTTAATAATACTTCTACAAATAATTGATTTTGTTATTGAACAATATTGTGAGATTGTTACATTAGTGTTTTCGTAAGTATGGTTAAGAATACTTGCACAAAAGAACTCATAATGGATGTAAAGAGTATTTTGGAATTAATGGAGACACGGGCTAAAGAAAATGTCATGCAATTCAAGATGTTAGAAGTTGTATTGGATACCTTATTGAAGCAAAATACTAATAAGGAACATCACTCTTCAATTATTTCACCACCATTTCAAGTGTGCAATGTGAAGCTGGACTTTCTCCGCTTTGATGGCTCGAATGTGCTACAATAAATTTTCAAAGTCGAGCAGTTTTTCTTATAGTACAACACACCAGATGATCATGAACTTACCATTGATGTCATTCATTTAAAAAAGGATATAGTTCCTTGGTACCAGATGATGATGCGTTATGATTCTTTCCATTCGTGGGTTGCATTTACTTGAGCTTTAGAAATAGAGCTTGGACCATCACCATATGAGTGTCCGTGATCACACTTGTTAAAACTTACACAAATAGGTTATTTGCAAGAATATTATGTTCAATTCACTGTTTTAGCTAACAAAGTTCAAGGTATATCTTCTGAAGCTTTATTAGACTATTTTGTGGGAGGTTTGAAAACTTATATTAAAAGAGATGTCATTGCTCAATCACCACTAAACCTGATAGATATGTCTCATTGATCAAGTTATATGAGGAGAAGTATGTTATCAAATGCAAACAGTACCATAATTTCCATCTTCCAAAACACAAGTTGTAAACACTACCAGTCAAACCATAAAATTCACTAGCCTATCACCTCTCCTACCTAGTCCTCCTCTACATTCGGTTTCCACAACCATGCCAAATACAAATGTAAAAAGAATAACTCTTGCAGAGATGCAACTAATGAGAGAAAAAGGTATCTGTTATAGATGTGATGCCAAGTTTTCCCCTACTCATAGGTGTCCCAACAAACAATATTTACATCTTTAATGGCAGGATGAGGATAATGGAGAATTACAACTTGATCCTCCGGATAGTGAGCAGAATGTGGAATTGCACTTGGAACAAGAATATCATCTGTCATATAATGCATTAAAAGGATCTTCTGGCTTTGGTACTCTAAAGTTAAAGGGTTCTATAAATAGCATGACAATGCAGGTTTTATTGGAGAGTGGTTCCAATGATAATTTTTTGCAACCACGATTGGCTCATTGTTTAAAGCTACCTATTGAGCCAATTCCCAATTTCCAAGTGCTGGTAAGCAATGATAGTGCATTAGTTGCTGAAGGACGAGTCGAAGAATTGGAGGTTAAGAGTCAAGGTCACATATTTAAATTACTTGTGTATTTACTACTTGTCACTGTTGTTGACCTTGAAAGTGATGAAGATCTTATTGAATTGCTTTTGCAAAGATCTTGCTTGATTTGATGAAGTAAAAAATGAAGTCAAAGGCTACTTTGTGGCAGTCAAATGTCACTTAGATAAAAGAGTAGTGGGATTTGAGAGTCTGCATCTCTGCTTAGGTATAATCATTTTTATCTCTCTGCTGCATGAGGTTTCTTCATTTAAAAGATTCTCGCAATTGCCTCTAAAAAATGTTTAAACGATTAAAAACAAAGTATTTTGTTAAAAGGTTTTTCATCAACTATTTTAACTAATAGTATATAAGTTTTATCAACTAAAATGTTCTTAACACTTTTGTAACAGGTTTTTAACCGATATGTTTTCGAAATAATTGATTATTTTCATTAGAAGGATTTTTGAAAACCTTCTGCCAGTATTTTAACTGATATAGAATTGATATAATCGATTAAAATGACTTAAAATATTTTAAAAGTGTTTTGGCAGAATTTTAATTGATACAAACTCGAAATAATCGATTAAAATAACTTGAAGTGGTTTGAAAGTTGTTCTGTCAGTATTTTAATCGATACAAATGTGAAATAATCGATTAAAACAACTAAGAGGCTTTTCCAGAATGTTTTAATCGATTAAAACAAGCTTGCTATCAGTTAAAATAACTTAGAAAGTTTTATGAAATCTTTTAGCAGAATTATAATCGATTAAAATGCGTTTCAATCGATTAAAATAACTAAGTGAATTTTTTTTTTCAAAGTGTTTTAATCGATTAAAGCATATTGTTATCAGTTAAAATCACTTAGAAAAGTTT